TGGGAGCTCAAAGTGGAAGACAATTCGCAAGCCCATCGAATTGACTTCGACAGATAAGTTGATGCAATTTAATGGCATCCAATGTGGTCTGTGCTGGTCCATCAATAACTGACTGGTGCCCTGTTTGTATTCGATCGAGGCTGTTGCAGACAATCCACTCTTCTCTCGGCAACCACGATTAATCTTAAAGTCGGAACAATTTCTCTGTGTTTGAGAGCATGTCCCAACTACTGATTTGTTGTGTTGAGCGGATTTCTCTCCTCTACTGCTAATCGCATCCACTGACTTTCCTGTCGCCTCACACAACTCTAGGTGATGCGATAAACGCCGCCGCACACCTGCACCCCCCCTGCAATGCGACGCTCCACTTTCAAAGAGATGAGGAATAACAGGATATGCAGTGAGCAGACGTGAATCAGTTGGCCAGTGTGTGGGTTTTCCATGCTCATATGCGTGTCCCACTCACTCACCCATAGACAGTTGTGTTTCCTGATGAACCTTGACGAAGACAGCTCAGCAAGACCTACTTGCACGTTCCTGTGTTTGGTCAGATTTACAAAACTGGTCAGCGATGTCTTTAATGATCATCAGTGATATGTTCGGCAGGGTGAGTGTAGTGTGTGTTTGCGTGCATGGGTGTCAGGAAAGGCCACTCCCTTTGGGAACGGATGCATAGCTCGCTGGCATGAGAGCAAACACAAGCGATGTGAGATGCCAATGTGGGATGCTGGTAATCGTAATGTGAGGTGGTTCAGGTCGGTTCGTGGTGCGTTCAACATCGCAAACCAACGAGCCTCACATTTTTCTCATCATATCCAACCCAACCACCACCACACACCTGCTGGCGAAGGTGTCACCGAATCAACAACTCGTGTTAATTGCGTCAATCACGTGAATGTTTGCAGAGCTTACTGAGCCCGCACTGTGATGACTGGGTTAGCACCCAAATGCACACACACAGACACCAACCCCAACTCTACTCACACACACACACACACACTTGATTCCTCACGTCTGCAGCAATCCCACAGTCACTCCACTTTCAGACGATGCTTGTGGTGGTGAGGCAACGTACACAAAACACAAACCCAGCAGTCAAAAGTCGACTCTTGATTTCACACTGATACGTTGGGAGTTGTTTGCAGTGCAAACCTCACGTTCGATTACTGGATTGGTGAGTGCTGATTCCAGCTAGTCTGCCACGATAGCGCTGATTCGACGGTACATGCCCGCGGACCACAATGCAAACATACGCACACACGCACGCACACACACATGTGCATGTCATCAGGCTTGTCGGACACTATCACAAAGAGGTGATTTAGCTGAGCTTAAAGTGTGGCCACCACACTGGCCAAAGACGGTTCATTAAAGAGGAAGTGGGGTGACACCGGCATAGCTCGTTACCTACACCTCGAGTAGACGAGGATGAGAGAATCGACGGTTCGGACAGGCGTGCGGACGCCCGTCTGTCCAATGCGACTTGCGAATGTTGACCGTCAGCACAAGGCAAGGCATCAGAATGGTGACATCCACGCGCACAGGTAGTAAGCCACTCGCCTTTGTGTGACAGATGAGTCAGAGCACATTGTGAATTAGTCAGGCTGAATGTATGCATCCCGCGGTGTCGTGTCACCACGACACACCCCACATGCCGCAGTGTTCGACGTCCCATTGGCCGACGACTGAACAATCGTTCGTGAGCAGTACTCTCACCACAAGGACAAACGTGATCGGTTATCCGGCAGACCAGATTAACGGTTTTGGGGATTTAATGCAGGGATACTAGGGATGAACGTGGTGTTGGTCAAGTTGCAGGTAGGTTGCAAATGACGACTCTGGTCCCACTGGAGAGTCATTGAGCCTTGTGGAACAAAGTTTACAGCGCACTGTGGCGGAGCTTTGCTTGCATGTCGTCGTAGTTGGTCAGGAATGGTCATTTATGCTAACACTAAGGGATACTTTCTACAGAGTTTGACGTCGCGCAAGATCAATGAGCCATCGCCTGACCCAGCCTGAACGTACAATCGTGTGTCTGCGCATTCTTCTCAGTCCAGTTCAGCTTGATGAACGGTGACCTCTCGTTGCTTCACGGGGCTGTCCCGTTTCCAAAACCGGGCTTGCGACCTGTCCAAAGCCGCATACCTAACCACGCTCCAGACCTTCCACCTGAGTGGTCATGGCCACCGGATTGTGGATGGCCGGCCAGAGTGATGGACATGCCACGATGTCCACCAGCTGGACCGCCAGTCGTGAAGGCAGTCACCGCGTGCTCTCGTTATGAGGACACGTGTCCTTGCAGTGATCGGCCGTCGACCCCACGGCTGGCGCCAATGCACACACACATTGAAACGACCCACACCCGATTGGCTGAGAACCTTCTGCGTCACCACGTCCATATAAAGGCCACTTCGGAACATGCGGTGCGGTGTTCAGCCATGCTAATTGCAGTCATTTACATTCGAGAGCATCTGCGTCATTCCGCAACAAGTCGACTCGAGATCTGCTGTCCACGTCTAGTCAGACGTGGTATCTCTCGTCCGATGTAAAATCCGACTACGCACAGAAGTAATGGCCTAGATTGGTTAACGGTGTAATCTCAAATGCGTTGTGGAAAGAGAAGTTAAACATGTCTAATGTGCTATGACGCCTGAACGGTTTAGGTCGGTTATATAACGTGTTACAATCATCGGTACTTGGTCATCTGTTTGGTCTCGTGCTAACTCCGCGTGGCATGTTTGGACCTTAATGACCTGCATTGCCATCGTGGTATGCGGTTACATTATTCAAATAAAGATATTTATTTGCTGATTGCTCCTCTGGGTACTGTCAGTTTTGGTTTTGTAATCGGTCAGAATTGCTGACACCGCGTCTGTGTCGACGGTGCTTGCGGTGATGGTCCGTATACCCAACGTAAAGCTCATGCAGCTACTAGTCTCTGGTAGATGACTGGGTAACCCAGTTGTCTTGCTCTGCCCATGAGCCTACCTGTGTAACGATTTATTTACCATCACAATTTAAACCCTTCGGGGGTCGCACTGGTGACAATGACTACGTACTCGAAATTCAAGTCTAGAGACGACGATAGGTCATCCAATTGCACTCGCGAACAACGTGTGCCCTGTTTAACGAGGCCGTGCCTAAGAGATAGACTAAAAGGTAAGTCGGTCGATTTGCTAGCTCCGACAATCACGAGGTGACTTCTGCTAATTTTACTTCTGACAGCCCTCTCATGTCACACCCTAAATACCTAGCTTCTACTTACCGCCTACAGCGCTCAAGTACACACTGGTTCGTTTTACGAGTCACCCCTACATTGCATCGTGGTTGACGTTCCTGGACTGCCCTTTTGTGAATGTCAGTTAGGTCTTAGTAAAATCACTGACACATGTTTTAGAAGGTTTCACCGAATACGAGTCAGAGAACACGTGGACACATCAACAAAAACCAAAAAAGGGCGTCACGTTCTGGTTGTTTACTCAAGCCTTTGGCCACAGGCAGACGTTTTAGTTTACATCTAAGCGCTAAGATAGCTCCAATTTCCTAGCGAGTTTAGTTTCATCGCAAAGAAGACAAGTGGCTCACATTAAGGAGAGAAAAACTTCATTTAATTTTCGACCTATTACATTGTGTGATTATTACAAAAGAAAACAGGAGGCACACACATAATCTCCGCAAGTGTGTCTGAAATCGAATAAAAAATCAATACATGTCAGTTACTTTTCGTTGGGCTCCAAAACTTATACCAGACTGGTTTGCGCCACCCGTGTAGCCCATCTGAAGACCGATCACGGATTCGCCTTGCTTCAGTTGTTCCTCGGTGAAATTGCGCTTATTCTCCGTATGACGCTGCATCCAGTATCCCTCCGGTCCCACGTAGCCCGGTTTTGCCTGTGCCTCGACGCCCAGTTGAGAAAGACAGATAACAACCTGTGGGAGATTTGTCTGTTCATGTAACTGATCAGTTTGGAAGGTGGACGCTGAACCAACTCCCATCTCTTGGCAGAAGTTTATGAAAGCTCCTATTCTCTCGCGCTGTCGGCTCGTCTCAAAAATGGGCTTATCCGATACCTTCCACATGGCCTTCCCGAGACGCTGTGTGATTTCGTCAGGCTTAAGACACCCAATAAGATAGCCAAAAACGAGACCATCTTTTAGTAAATCGTGAAATTCCTCAGGTTTGACTGTTGATACGTTTTCGGGTATTTTTAGGGCTGCTTCACGCAGAACCTCTGGGATGCCTTCAGCAGGTTGAAGGAGTCTAATCCACTTCAGGGCCTTCGCTGCTTCTTCGCCATTGTACTTCTCCATAATTCTAATCTGAACTTCCCGGGCAAAGCCGGATTTTGCTGCGCGATATTCCATGCCAATTGAAATTGTGCGACATTCAGTCGCATTTGCTCGCCTTGCAATGAGCTGGCACTTTGATTCGCTAACGATCTGGCCAATCACCTTCACATAAACCGTATGAGGACCAATCGACTGGCACTTAAGCGCGAGACCCTGTGTCCGATGTTAACGCCTGAGGCATGAGTATTTGCCGGCGTTAAGTTGCATTGCCTTGAGTGACCGATTTTAGGGCATTGGGCGGGGTCTGGCGGAGGCGTCCGATTTGTACACGTGACTTAGTTATTAATATGCTTTGGCCTGATATTTGAGAAAACCGTTTTGCATCCTTACTTTGTGCCTCATTATCGGTTAAATCTTCAAGCAGATACAAATGAGGTGGTGTCGTTCGATTGATAAGTGAAACTCCCCAGATCCTGATATCCGAAAGATATTTTTTAGAATATCTGCGTGTTTGGACTTTCATTAGGAATTTAAAGGGGACGGGCAACAGAAGGCTTTAGTATTAAAATCTGAACTTTCCTCTACGTTGCTTTATCTGATTTTAAATCAAAAGTTGATAACAGTCCTAGTCTCGTGTACCTCCTGCTGGAAAAAGTTGCTTTCTCAGTTTCACATATTCCTCTGATCGGAGGTGTGCAATTGACCAAAAAACCATCAGTTTAGGAGGTTAATCATTTATCATTTACTTACGCTGGCCATCGAGCGTTTGCTGAAAAAAATGAATTTGATTTGTGAAGAGTTATTTGATTTTTTGGCATTCAATTCGTTTTAATTAATCGTTACTCCGGTTTTGCTGTTCACGCACCGTGTTCCATGTTATCGGGTTCCACGGATGCCAACGACGACAATAGGGATTGTAAAGTACCTTCACAACAGCTGCAGTTGGTGATTCCGGCGGGATCCTTCCAAATTACACCTTGACTAATCAATGTAACCCACGCTCTACAAAGAATTTGCAGCTCCTCACCATGGAATCGGTATTACTCATCATCACCAGTGGTCCTGAGTGTTCTCTGACGAAAACGCGGGTTCAGTTGTACATTTCCTCCCCATAAGAACCAGATTCGCGATGAAACCTGGTGGACACCCGCGTCATTTGGCAGATTTATAGGGTTGCAAGAAAGTTATTAATATTTTTGATGCAATCCTTGCAATTTCTATCCATTTAATTTCTGATTACGTCATCATTTCTATTTCCAAGACCCAACACACTTCTAAAAAGCACGAGTATGCCTGCTTTTGATTGGCAGACGTCGGCTCTGCGTGCTCAAAGATTCTGACAACCAATGAAAGCGAGCATTTACATATACAAAAGTAATCCTGCATGTAGACATGTGAGCAAAACCTCTGACCCGTAGAATGGAGTATCGTGCTGCGAAATCGGGATTAGCTCGTGACGTGCAGAAGCGAATAAACGAGAAGTATAGCCCCACGGAGGCAGCCAAAGTCCTCAAGTGGATTCGTCTTCTTCCAACAGCGGCGGGGATTCCACAGGAGCTCGTCACATCAGCCCAGGCGATTCCCGAGGATGTTGAGTCTGCCTCGACAGAAGAATTTTTCAACTTCCTGAGATCGGGACTTGTTCTTGGTTACATTATTGGATGCCTGAAGCCAGACGAGGTGACACAACGCCTGGGTAAAACTCTCTGGAAGGTCTCAGACAAGCCGATGTTTGAGACGAGCCGACAACGTGAAAGGATCGGGGCGTTTCTTCATTTTTGCCAGGAAATGGGAGTCGGTTCAGCATCGTGCTTCCAAACTGATCAGTTGTACGAGCAAACGAATCTCCCACAAGTTATAATCTGCCTTTCTCAACTGGGTGTTGAAGCACAGGCAAAACCGGGCTACGTGGGACCGGAGGGATACTGGATGCAGCGTCATACGGAGAATAAGCGCAATTTCACAGAGGAACAACTGAGGCAAGGAGAAACCATAATGAAACTGTAGTTGAGCTATACAGACTGAACGACAGCCTCCGTGATAGGGTTTGGAACTCCATGACGCTCTATGAATACCTTCTATGTGACTACTTGAGTAATATAACATGATTAATTTACATGTTTATGCTGTGGTCTGTGTTGATTGCTACAGTTGCATGGCAAGATCAGGTTATGACTTTAGCAAAGCGAAAGGATCTATCCTTGTTGTGCTTGAAGTGCTTCGGAAACTGGAGACGCCTTCTAACCAATTGGAATAGACTGTAAGGCTGATTTACATGGGACTTCACTGAAGTTAGCTGCAGAACATACAGCAATCCTGTCTGCTGTCTCAGTGGCCTCTGAGATTTCGGCTGATGCTTACCAGGTTCCGGTTTGCCAGTATTTAATTATAACGGAAAAGAAGTCTGCATTCCTCTATTCACCACACAGCCACTCGGAGTAGGACGTTTTCGTTGTTTAATTGCTGCGTGACAAGTGATGACGGATCGTGTAGCCGATGTTGTACTAGTTAATTTCAGGTCCACTACCATCGGTTGAAGAGTAATGTCGAGAGTTGGATTTTTTTGCGAACACGGAACCGTTGCCATTAAAACTTTGATGAGTGTGTCATTTCAAGGGACAAAGGAGATGGATAGTTCATAAAAATGAAACTTTGACTCGACTGAGTTTGCACGGCTTGTGGGCTAGAGACCGGCAATCATAGTGGCATCAGCCGAAATGATTCCCTTGCCATTCCGTAGGAATGGTTTTTAGCAAAATATCACAATGTGGCGAACAAGCGAGTCATTCCCTAAAACCTCATGCCATTCTTGTTAGATAATCATTTTTTTCAACAGAAATTACCCTACTCAATTCCAGCACCTGTCGGATCTAGGGCTTAGCAGCTTTGGCCACATGAACTCCAAAAATATTTTTAAACAACTTTATCATAGCATATTTAGTTGATCGTGTCGTTTTTCCCCTAAACGAAAAAATTCTGCCTCATTTATGCAGGATAACCGGTCCATGATCTTTGTACATCCTAATTACTGTAGCTGTTAACTTACTTTGACTCTGTGATTATACATTGTGGTTATGCTTCGGTCTCTGAACGCAAAATCGATATTCTTTTGATTGTCAAACGTGCTGTGAGCGCCGCTCATATTTCGCGTAGTCGAAGCACAATGAACTTACGTAAAACCGATCGATAGGCAAATGTGTGAGCTAACGCCGGCACTCATGTGAGTTCTGGAATCTGAATGCACGCACACATACACACACAATCATGAGCTAACATTGTTGTCAAAATTTGCCGACTCCGTTATCCAAAATGTTGCCACGAGTTACAAACCCATAACTGCTAATCTAGAAAAGGGATTAATGGCGGTTTTATCTTCAAACACAAAGGTTAAAGTCAGAGTCATCGTTATACTAATCGGACAAAGGTGAAAGTCAGATGTAACACACGTGATTACCCTTTCGCTTCTTTTATTTGATCTAAATCTTATTAAATATTTTGAATAAGACTAGTGTATTGCACCACTGCCAGATAACCAGCACATCCCGTGACACTGGTAGGTGAACTTGCAACTGGCAATATCTCGTTGGTAGTTGGCGAGAGTTATATTATTTGAAAGTAACACAGAAACCAACTACAGAGGAATTCCGCTGTTGTAATGAATGCTCACTGGAGTTGCGTACATAAAGTAAACAAACAGGGGTGCGGATTGCGTGACGCCATTTTCCTACATGGAAACGCACGCCACAATAGTTGTAATTGCGGAATTGCATGTTGTGGGTAGATTGTGTGATGCCATCGAACAAATCGATAAATCGTTTTGCACCGGGCCGAATACAAGTGATGTGCGGCGTACAAGTGCACAGAGTTCCGAGCAAATCACTTACTGTCGGAAGTGTGTTCTAACCAAATTCAAGATGACTTTGCCTACACGATAAATGATTTTTGAACATGAACTGTGCATATTTTGATAACTTAATAAGGCTGTTTGCAGGAAATGCAAATTGTATGCAAAAAGCGCAACCTTCGCTGATGTCATCACTTCATTAACATTTGGAAAGTTAAAAAGCGAAGTCTCGATGATTCAGGGAAAGTAGTCTTCGAAAAAAAGGCCTTTGCGTCAGGGGAATGGGTGATCAGATGCTTTTTGAAATCAATGGAAGCAACGCATACTGTAGGCCAAAGGCCTTGAATGGAAGTTGTAAATCTAACCTTTGCGCACAAACACTCCAATTAACGGAAAGGCAACCCTAGATCAGTAATTGTTTTGCATCCTGGTAGACATGTTCTATTTATCGTTCGTTTAAGGTTCAAATCCTAACGCTTCTAGGTACGTTAAAGTTGGGGTTATTTGGTGGAATTATGGAAATAAGACTCCCAAATCCAGCGTTATCTTGAAGTATCAACGCTCAAAGACGACGGGGCAAATCACTAGGCGTTTGGAAAATTGATTTTTAATAATATCGACAGAGCCAACACTGTTGAGGCTGCCAACACGCAAACTAAGCATCAGTGACTCACCGTACTTATTGACCATCCAAACGGAAATTACTGTTCTTGATTCTAAACTTGGTTCTGTAAATTTAAAATAAACACGCAGTGCAACAAACAAAAAAGCAAACAAACAATGTTTATTGAATTATTCCATACCAGGAATAAACAGGATAAACAAGGAAAAGTGGCGTCTGGAAAATTATTCAATATGAACTTCAAAAGATTTTTAAATGCTTTCTCTCTTTCCAAATCTGTGATTTGAGCATGTGCAATAGTAAAGTCAGCAGAGTATTCTTTGTTGGAAATCAGACCTATCGTCACCTTGCTGCATTCCAATCCAATCTGGAGAACGAGAACCAATGAGAACACGCGTGGACACGTCACCAGTCGTTTGTCGCAACACGGTCAGCGAGGGTGCGCACGTGCGTGCGAGTGAGTCATTAGCTAATTAGGCGCCATCCATGGGAGGTGGTTGTGACAATGCAGAAGAGCAAAGTCCGTGTGTGCCTCGACGCCTGCGTCACAAAAGATTACCTTTGGTAAATTTATGCGGACAGTCGACGCCTCGGGTGCTCTCGTATAATCTTCTCAACCGAACCAAATCAAATTAACCTCTCGTATTCGAATTATCTACTTAAGCGTGCGCGATAGTGCACACGAGTGGTTTCCATGGCGTGTGTTGCTAAGGTACCAGCTCAGCGTGCAAGCGAGTTGGGAATTTCACTCTAGGAAGCATTACTGTTCATGCCTTGAATGAATTTTTAATTTATCACGGAGCCTAATTAAAAGAAAAGTCACATGAAATCTAGAAACACAATACCACTCTCATGGAAATTCTAGCGATTAAAGATGACCCAGTTACAGGTGAGTGGGTTTTTGCGGATCACTTGGGACCCTGTCCTAGCTGTAACATTTACCTTGTCGGAACGCACATCTGTTGAGGGTCAGATTCTACATCTGGGATGGAGGTTCCTGAAGCGTACAACAGAAGTGAACCATGTAATACATGTACTTTTTTCATATGAAACTGGTGCAACGTGAATTCAGGCCTTTGGAACGGTAATTTGAATCGAAAAGTTTGAAGATAGAGAAGTGAATTAAAAATCGAGTCCCTGCCAGTTTCGGTCTGCCATCCCAAGGACCTAGATCAATTGAAACCTTCACGTTAAACCAGGTGGAGGTTTCCAACTTAAGGGCGACAATTCGAGTACATTACGAGGTCATAAACTGAGCGAAATTATGACCTTTTGACTTGGATCTATCAAGGAGTGAATTGTGTCCAACAAATTTTCCGCCAATGATCATCGGGTTTTGAATTTTTGCTTCTGGAAGACGTAGAGCAATACCCAACGAAATTCTACTGAAGGAGCTCCGCGTCTGGGGTCTTATTTGATTCATTCCGTTTTACGGAGAAGAATCAGTAGTTTGACGACAAAAAGAGAGAACATGTTATGTAGCTTCGTGTTATATGTTTGTAATTTGGTGCTGCGACTTTGAAAGAAGTGAAAATTTAGGGGAGCAACTTCCGGTCAAAGAGAAATTGAGCCATAGCAGGCATTTATTTTACAGTAAAATTGAACTGCTCTGCAGTAGTTTGTAAAGGTTGGTGAACCTGCCACACATGCGGCGGGGCGAATTCACCCAATTCCCATTCGTTTCCGGTCTGTATGGCTGCGAAGTTGACTTGGGAACCAAAACACCCGATTTTAATTGTACTGCCATTAAGTAATTGTGCACTTGAACAAGAAAGCCATCTTCTTAGCAACACGTCCGTCAGTTCTTAAGCAGATAAATTCCAGATAATGACAATCCTTCCCAAGATACGCCGGCATAAGAAACAGTGAACAATTAGGCTATTTGTTGATTACTCCAACCAATCATTGGTACCTTCACGCTTGTTGGTAATTACGATTGCATCATAACACTTTATTTTACATCAACGCAGGGTTAAAAGTTACGTAATTTGCAAGCCTCTTCAACCATTTTCCTAGCAGCGCGTGTGGTCCCATCCCTGCTCTTAAGGGGCATTTTTAAGTTGAATCACTTTGCGCAAAACCTGTTCAACAACCATTCAGGCGATCACCGTCCCGAGCTGGAGGGCGTAGCGCCGCAACAAGTTTTTGCACTTCTAGACAGCCGAAATAAGAGGTATGTTTTGGTCACCATCTCGCAACGTTAAACAAGCCAAAGTCCATCCATCCACTTGTTTAAAGAAACAATGCCGAATGGTGTGATTATAAACGAATTAGTAAAACTGAAAAGTGCACCAAATTATTTGTCTTAAACAATTATAAGGGCAGACAAGTCGCATTTGAATTTTCCTTACGCTCTTCTACAGAATACCGTGTGGAGGAGTGTCTATCAAATATGCCTCTATTTGAATCGCCTCTACCAATATGACCTTAGTAAAATACATTTTAAAAGCCTTATGAACCAAGTAAATTCATAGCCTATTGATCAACTCAAGGTCATGCTGGATTCCAAAATCTGTCATTCTAGTTAGCGGGGCGGGTGTT